TTCAGATGTATTTTTACAAGTAGCCATAATTCCTTTAATGGCTTCTTTAAATAGTGTTGATTGCAATTTCTTAGTAGGCATTGTAACTGCTTCTGTAGAATGAAATACTCTCTGACTCAAAGACTGAATGAGGAAAAACTCAAGAACAGGTTTGGGGTTTGTTTGGGTCGTGAGTTTTTATTTTGGGGTGGGTGTGGATCTTTTGTCGTTTCCCAACCCTCACAAATAAGAGACAGCATCAGGTAACATCAGATGGGAAAACTGAGATTAAAGACTTTGGCTTATCTACACCCAGGAGCTGCATTAGACTGTTTCATCAAATTAGCTTCAAAGATGCAAATAAAAACACTATCATTTCAACAAGAAATTTTAACACAACTCCTTGCTTCTAATTGCTTAGTACAGAACTTCAGAGATAGGTAGTGACTATTATTTAAATTACTAAAATGAGCATCAGATCTTGAGAATGTTTGAAGCACACACATCTCTTTGAAGAATGGCAGACAGGATGAGTACCTTCAAAGAAAAGATCTGGAACCATCTATGGAGCTACAGAATAACTCAAGAACCTTTCTCACTTGATGTTTCTGAAAACATTCTATGAATCAAAAGGGTAAGTAAATTAAAAAAAAAATCTCTTTTGTTTTAAGTCAGCTACAGTAGGTATGTATCATTACAGAATTTAGCAAATTAGGGTACATATTCCATAATCCCATGACACTGTCATTAATTCAGTTTTTGCTGCAGTTCCCCTTCAAAAATAGAACAAAACAAAAAACGCCAGCTTCCTTACAAAAGCAAGATACTTAGTGCTTATGAGGCAAGCCTGTATTAATGTAGCTTGACTCATATCAACTATTGGAGGAAAAAATACAACCCAATTAGCTAATTTTAAAAATACTGAGCAGCACAAAACATACTGTGAAAAGATGCTGAGAAAAAAATGTTGCTACACAATAACCACAGCCCTGGGAGCCCATTGTCAGTAGGATATGTATATAGATAGCACAGATACAGAGTTTAAGCTTTTTTTATTTAGCAGTACTTTGGGAGTAGCTCAACCCTTCCCCTTTCACACAGGCATAAATGGCAACACTATGCCTGCCCAAGGATGTACAACTCCTCTAAATCATGATAGCCAAAAGCACTTTTGAGAGAGCAGCAAGGAAAGTGGCCAGCAAATCTGCATCCAATTAACACTTCAACTGTAGTTCAAGGGGCAACTGTTCCTTCTGAGTGCCTGGATACATGCACCCACATCCTGAGGGAGGCTCGGAGCAGCTCTCCTGAGATCCTCCATCCCTTCAGCCCAGGCCCCAAAATGGGTCTCAAAAATCTTGGCAAAAGGATAATGACCAGGGTACTGTTCCCCTAAATGAATGTCTCATCATTCTCAAAAGTTACTGTGACAGAACAGTAGCAGAAATGTCAGGTAGTCACCCCACAAACCCCCTGACTAAAATTAAGAAAGACTGACCCAGCTAATGTGTGGGAGGAGAACCTCTCCTGCTGTCCTAACAGGCCTGGTCCATTACTAGCACAGCCTGGGTGTTTCCATTGTTTCATTCAAGTGGAAGCACATGAACAAGAGGATTAACCTAAGATCTACCAAAACAGAACACTGCAGCCCTGTCAGACCTACAGTTTGACAACAGGGAAACAAACTTTAGGATTTATTAACCAATCTGGACCAAGAAAGTCTGCGGGAATCTGACACAGTCATACCCCGTGATTTCTACAGGATTTGTTAGGCATTGCATCACCTTTTAGGAAATTGGTGTTTGTAGGCATTGTCAACCTTTTTCAGGTAGAAAAGACAAATGATTTCCAGTCCCAGGAAAACTCACTAGGATGACTGTATTTTTAGAAGAAAATGAAAGCTTATGGGAAGGTTAATTACTCCCCTGTAACTAAGAAACCAAAAATATTTACAAACTCTTACACAACAAAATAGCTCCACAGTGAGCAACTATCTTCGGTCTTATTTATGTTCCAAATAAGGCTCAAGGAAAATTAGCATCACCCCTCACTTTATATTTAGGGCAGGAGGCTTGGGAATAGAACAAGGACCAAAATGTCCTGTTGGCTAAAGGAATATAAACTTCAGTTCTTTGTAACACACTTTCTCCTCCTACTCTTTAAAGCAGCAGGCATATTGAAAAGTTAATTAGAGAATATCCAGAAATATTCCTTGTTTGACACAAAACCAGCTGTAGCTTTGTTAAACTATGACCTCCCTTCATTAAAACATCACCCAGGTCTTAGGAGCTGAAACAGGATAAATCACTTCCAAGCACCTTCCCCAGGAAAGGCCAGAAGTTATCCTTTCTTATCCTCCTTTATTTACTCTTTCTGTGCCTGCCAGTCATTTATTTACAATTTATTTACAGTCATTTATTTACTCCTGTTCGTAGGGTGAGTGATGAAGCCAGCCAAGTAATTTGTTTAACAGAGATGAACAAGGTAAGAAGAGAGAGACAATATTTCCAGCAAATTAGAGGAGACCTTAAGCTCTATTCACTTAGAGGACAATGTAGACACTCTTACCCTGATACAGTGAGGGCAAAGAACTATTCATGTTCTGTAAAATTCAATATCATCTAACCTCTGAATCACGAAGTGAGATGACTCTCAAAAACAATGTGTTAGAATAACACTGAAAGACACAAAGAATGGGTTGGGAAAAACACTGAGAGGTGCCACTAAATAATAGAGAAAGAGAATATGGATCTCTGAAAACAAATGGTCAAGATTTCACTTGTTCAAAAATGACTGAGTAGTTTGATTGCTAATTGACTTGCAACATCTCTAAGGAAGAGGAAGTGAGACTGAAGTGTCTCAGCTATTTATGTCCCATACACTGACTGATCCTTTAAGCAGCATAAATTTATGTATTGCTACCCTAGCAAAAAAAGCAACTTCAGTCTTTGTGCAGTTATTCTAATCAGCTGGCTCTTTTGACAACATGAACTGCACAGACAGAGCACTTTGCTGTTACAGAGGTAATGATTTACCTCTATCTATCAGAGAGATTCAAATACACACCTAGCCTCAGTTTATTTAGACATGTCCTCAAAGAGCATCCCTAAAGAGACATCACTAGCATAAAATTAAAAAAAAAAAAAAAAAACCAACAAAACGCTTGCAACTTCCTTTGGTTGACCCTAAGAAAATGTCAGAGTTTACTTTTAGTGTATCCAGATTCCTTAAAGTCAACAAAAGACAACAAACCTATATCAAAATGCCACGGCTCCTAGAGAAATACTAGCTCCCTAGGAACTAGGGAAGGCACAGTAATTTAAAAGCACAGTGACATTCAGTATATTGCAAAGATGTTCTACTAATAAGAGCCACTGAGATACATTTTTCACATTTAAAATTCTTAGTGCTTAAACTGAATAGAAGATTCAAGACAGTGTTTATATTTCTTTACTCTGGTTTGCCTTAGTTGGGGAAGTTTTTTTCCTATCAGAAAAGCTGCAACGCTCAAATATCTTGTAATTAATGCCCAATCACACCAGTTTTAGTGTACTTTGTTAATTTTGATACTCACACATATCAGATAGAAAACATGCATACATTATGCTTATGTACTACAGATACACATTATACATATCTTAGTGTAGGCATTCACAACATAAAAGATTAGGAAAATATTTTTTAATGCATGTTATTGTTTATAATGATATTAATATCACTTTCATCTTATCAAGACTTGAAGTTGCAGTCCATCAAGAGTTTCATCTTACACAAGGAAAGTAGATAAATGATAACATTTTCAAATATTATCTATATATATCAATATGCTGCCCTACTGCCACTCAGTTTCAGCAAACATTGAGTATCTCCTTAGTCCTTCATCTTCAGCACTTTTCCTCTAGTTCTAAGCTTGTTTGGCCAGATGAATAATGATTGCCCACAACATGTCATAAATCAAGTGATTTACTCCAAAACAAAGTGTCTCTCTATGTCCAGTCCAAACTCAGTACCCAGCCTACTACTATTAGCTACAGAAGTAAGTCAAGCAATAAGCACCTCTACTAAGAATACAAAAATACAAATTTAAGTCCACAACGTAGCACACATCAAATTTAGAACTAAAAAAAACCCAGTAATGTTACATTCCTGTAGCTTATAAACTCAAAGCACTCAGATGAAGTGACAGCATATCATACCTGCAAATGTAATTCAGCTCTTTACATGCTGCATTTTTTTCTTCAGCACCAGTTCCTGTCCTTAATTACTGTATTAACTTGTACTTTCAAAGTTATCAACAATGCACTCAAATTGTTGTTTGGAGATGCTAACATTTTTGCTTCTTTGAGTGGGGAAAAAAGCACTTAAATCTTAAAGGACTTAAAGGAGCATTTAAATCTCAAATTACAGACTAGTCCTCTCAAGTAACAGCATAGGGAGCAAAGAAAATCCAGACAGTCTGGGACAAAGGAGCACAGGATGGAGCTTAGGAGCTTCTATTAGTGTTAGTATTTTATTAGTATTATTATTGTCAAGTCCTTTATTGTGGAAGCAGCCTTTAAACAATTTTTATTTTACTGGATACTAATAACGGGATTTTTTCCCCTGCTTTTGCAGTTCAAATTCAGCTATCTGATTTGCTCTAGCAAACCCTGGTCTAGCACTAATTCTAAAACACAACAGTTCACATAAAAGAGGTTCTTGTGATTTACTGGAGGATGTAACAAAGAGTGAGGCAAAAGCCACTCCACCTCTCCAATGTCTCCTAAAGCCTTACTTTCACCTCCCAGGAGAGGTCAGGAAGACAGGAACCAAGCACACCATGGTGGTAGACCTATGTTGAGCTAAAAGGAGCAACGCTTGCAGCTTTAGCTGTTACTGGTGTGATGTGTATGTGGCAACAATGAACCTGTCTGTAGTCTCCTGAGCATCTGAGGCCACAAGTGAAAGACAGGATTTCCTTTCTTTATGCTGAACCTGATTCATAAAAATAATCTTTTGCACTGACAAGAAAAAGAACCCACCAAAACTAAGCTATTAGGGTATGAAGCATCCCTGGCTTAGGCTGGAGTTCACATCAGGACCCTGTTGAAAATTTCAGAAAATTAACATACTTTTAAGAAGGATGCTGATAAAATTTTGCAACGTATTTGTGAAAACATAATCAATATGGTTTATCTCAAGGAGATAAATCTTTACTTGTGCAACTAAAAAGACCACAACTTTAAGTCCAAAAGCAGTCAGAGGCAGTCTTGAATATTCATGGAAGATGGTATATTAATGATTTTCTTTTCCCAGTATTGTGTAGAAGGTTCTCCTTATACCTCACAGAGGTGCAAAAGGGAATGGATTAAGTAGCCAAAGAAGATAAACGCATTCACAAACCAATTTTCTTAGGTTCTGAACAAAGTTTACTCCAATAAGTAGTAAGAAAGGGCTTATGTAACCAGTTCAGCTTTTGGTTAATATCAATTATTATATCAATATACATTCTGTCCTATGGAAATTATTTTTAAGTCCAGTGCAAGTTTTGGACTGCTGCTAGTCCATGAAAACATTGAGCTCAACAGGTTATGGCTGTAAGAGCAGCCTGCATTTAAGCACCAATTTAGAAACTGCAATTATAACTGTCAGTGACACATTCTCCAACAACACTATGATGGATAAAAAATTATTTTTCATATTTTTAAGTTAAGAAAAAAGAAATCCACATTAAAAATGCCTTATGCAAGCCCTCATCTTATTGCAAAAGCACTGAGGAATGAACTGTTTTTAACTCTAGGCATTGAATTTCATAGAAATGCCTATGTTGCATAATGATCTAATAGGAAGAAGTTTATAGAGGATGTCTGGCACAAAGCAAAGCAAAACCCATTGTGAACTTTTTCCTTTAAGAGCACAAGTTTTTAAAGCAGGTACGCTAAAGTGACTACTCAGGAAATGAGCTGTATTTAGTGTGTCACCACACTAATACCTGGAAACTTTAATTATCAGACACACACTACAAAGTTCACAGATAAGATAAATATTAAAAGGTTAATCTTTTTTTATTACACTAAGATGCATCCTGGAAGTTAAAAGAACAAGAAAGATGGTCACTTTCTCTTTGCTACAGCTTCAACTTCAGCTACACCTCTGTTTTCATCTCACTTCTTCCACCTTTAAAAGATTAAAAAAGAGAACAGAATGTATCTATTAACCATTAATATATGGTTACATACAAAAAGATGACATAACACTCTTTCATAAATATTGGAATATTTCCATAGCTGTTTAAAACCCACCCCTACTCAACATTTTCCACTAATCTATCACCACCTAATACACCCCTACAACCGAGTAGAAAGAATTTACTCAGTTACATCTCTTTTATTGACAGCCAATCCCTGCTTGTTCAGAGCTGGGAGCTTACGTTTTTCTTTACACACGGACAGAATAAGGGAGGATACCCCTTTCCTCTGTATGCCTTGGGTCTCACGGTAGTCCACACCCATTTGTCAGCCTGAGACTGAGCAGAAAAAAGCAGTTCTTGGCAAAAGCCAGCCAAAGCTCCACTCTCCTAACAGAGGGTGAGGACCTGGCTCTACTTTGGTTCACGGGATTTTTTTCTTAATAACTCGGTCTTTAAGAATCACAGATTGTTAAGATTACAGCTACTTGTCAGAAAACAACTGTCACCTAATTCACTCCCATGGGTCTCGTCGTCCACAGGGGTAGTGGGGGAAGTCTGTGATTCTCCACATTCAATTTTACGGTCCTCTAGTTGTTTTTTTATAGCTGTCAAATGCCAGTGAGCATATATGCACAAGGGGAAAAAAATAAAACAAAAAACCAACCACCTCCACAAACACACTCCAGCCTTCCATACATATTTATTTATACACTCACACACACTTTCTCTACAATCCTTCACTCACGCAGAGGTACCCATCACTCGCACAAACACGCACACACACACACGATATATCTCACGGAACACGCATGCAGGCACCCGGAGAGACTCGGGAGCACAAGCCCCGGCTCTCCCTACGCGCGGCACAGGGAGACCACCGCCACTCCCACGCCCTCCATTGTGCTCCAGCCCCGGAGCGCCCGCCCCGCGGAGCGCACCCTCGCACCCGCACGGCCCCGTTACCCGTGAGGCTGCGGAGGACGGTGCCGTGAGCCCACAGGCTCAGCACTTGCTGCACCGACAGGTTGATCATGGAGTTGTCCCCCGCTTCCACCTTCATGGTGCCGCCGCCGGGCGGGGTCCGGCAGCCGCCGGACCGCGGGGCGAGAGGGAGACGGCGGCGGCGAGCAGCGAGAGGGCGGGGAGGCGGCGAAGGGAGCTCCGCGCCGCGGTGGAGACATCGAGGACGGAGTGGG